TTACTATCCTTGAATATCTGGTTTGATTGAGGTGTTTCTATATGGTAATTGTGTTTTGTACTGTTATTCTTTTGCAGGTTATATTCGTTGATGCAGACCAAATTGTGCATGCAAACATGGGAGAACTTTATGACATGAATTTAGGTGGACGGCCGCTTGCGTATACTTCATTCTGTGACAATAACAAAGATATGGATGGCTATCGCTTCTGGAACCAAGTAGATTCCCTTCTATCCAACTTTTTCCAAGTCCTTCAAATTTTTCTATAGAAAAATATTTTCATATAAAGCTGGTTGCTGCTATTTTTCGCTGTTGAGCAGGGATTTTGGAAGGATCATTTGCGAGGAAAACCATATCATATTAGGTAATAAGAACTTTTTTGTATTGCAGATTTTGATATTCTAACATCACTTATAATCTTTCTCACCTGGCATATCTTATATTCTTGTAGTGCTTTATATGTGGTTGATCTTGTCAAATTTCGGGAAACAGCAGCTGGAGACCAATTGAGAGTAGTTTACGAAACTCTAAGCAAAGATCCAAATAGTCTTTCTAATCTTGATCAGGCAAGCGGAAAGAATATATTAATTAACACCCCTAATTTTAGTTTCTTTTAGTCGTATTTGATTTGTATTTTCATATATTTTTTTAATTTTTTTCCAAGTATGTACATTTTAAACATATTATGCTGTTGTACAGGATCTTCCAAACTATGCTCAACACATGGTGCCCATATTTTCCCTTCCACAAGAGTGGCTATGGTGCGAGTCTTGGTGTGGTAATGCCACCAAATCCAAGGCAAAAACCATTTACCTTTGCAACAATCCCATGGCAAAAGAGCCCAAGCTTCAGGTAAAACGAACTCAAATCTAGAATATATACTTATGAGAGGTTTGGGATAATAACAAGAAAACCCCGTAGATGTTTGACAATGTCGGCTTGGATTATTAAAGATTTTATCAATAATATTTGTATTAGAAACGTGAAGAGGGGTTTTGAAAATTGTAATTTTGAATCTTCTCTGGATCTTAACGTTAATACCCCAAAAGTTAGGGTGGTTTTTGAAGTTATCCCTATTGTGTTTATTCTCTCTCATCACTCTTTTGCATGTTGTCTTCTTACCTACTTTCCAAATTTTATTTCCACTGTAGGGAGCTAAAAGAATAGTGAGTGAGTGGCCGGATCTTGACCTTTAAGCTAGACGCTTCACGGCCAAAATTGTATCCAACTGTTATGGTTATACTCTTAGAAATGTCATGGATAGACAAAGATTGCAATTGCTTGGTGTGGTTTTCTTGATGATTGCGTCGTAAGTTTGTTATTCAAAATGTTTTGTATCATTGTGTATAATCTTTCTACCTGCATCTGATGCCACAACAATCCTTAACTTGGGATAATATAAATGGGTACTTGTTGAAAGTATGAAGATATTTGTGCACCTCAGGTGGAAGAATTCTGCTAAATAACTGATAACACATTCAATATTTGTATTTTTTTCTAAAGTTACTTTAGCTTACGTAATACCTGCACAACATCCTAAAACGTTCAAAATTTTCAGGTTCCTCAAATGGAGTCTGATGTCTTGAATTACCTCTATTCGAAATGACAGCACAAACATTCAAATGTTTATTGAACGACCCAACGCACGTACAACTCCTCCAGTTTCAGTCACGCCATCACCAATTTCTCCCGACCACCACGAGCGTGACCCTTTCTGGTACAACCGAGCAAGGCCGTCAAATGTCTGCTGCTCTCCCGGCCGGAGAACCCTGCTGCTCCTTTTCCAGCATAGTCGTCCACCCGTCCAGACCTGAATTTTTCCGACGAACCATCATCAAATCGCGTCTGCAAGTCCGGCCGCCGCCTCCTCTGTT